ATTGTTCTTATACTGAATAACATCAGAGTACAGACGCAAACAATGACAGGTTTAAGGTCCATAACAGAGGTTAGCAGAACAAACTACAGGCGAAACGTGAATAAATACGAATACTTCACTTCTCTACCTCAAGTTTGTGCTGATGATGTTACTGTTCAGAAAGACACTGAAAGCTCCACAACCAAAACATCCAATTCAGGGAATGAAACTCTACCATAGCTGTTAAAGAACTAGAGTACCGGCAAGAAAGATTATCTTATGTTTGTCTCAGTAGTTCACTATAAAGACGTATCTATAATCAATGTAAGGGATTTGTGGAGATTTTTCTTAGTCAGATAGTCAGATAAAAACCAAGAAACATTGAACAATTGGTTCAACTCAACAGCTGATGTCTACAACCCAAGGATTGGTTAGAACTCCAACCCCTCAGTTCTAGTATACAAAAATTAACTTTCAAATCACTCATTAGGCATCCAGTGGTCTCGAGTCTCAAAGTGAACATCAATTCCGAGTTCTAAATAGGATGAATCGCTTTCTGCGGATTCTACTGCCAGTCAACACCTATCTTTTCATATAACTGTCGATAATTATGACTATTAAAACATACAACTTAACTCCTCAACCTTATTTCAAACCATTTCCTCAAGTTATTTTTCGTTTAATTGCGATACATGAATTGTAATTATGGTTGATCTATTTATTTGAAATCATGAATCGATCAATGGTTATACAACCATTAGAAACCTGGAAGCACTGGATGGTCGTTTCGTGCTGGTATGGGACTCATCAGTGGCAGTGCTCATCTACAACTCCTACACCCCGCAGGATTCCTACCCGGGACCTTCGATCTTGCGCGAGAGCGCCTTAACTTCTGGACCACTGAGCCGGTATCTAATGGTGTTAATGTCTATGTTGTCAAAATAATGTCGAATGATTTGTGGTGTGAGCTACTTATAAGTAGTGTATGACGTGAGTGTCAACGTAATGTCTGACAGAAGAGAAGATCGGGGAAGATCAAGAAAGGAAGAGTTAGAAAACAATGGAATTTGTATGAAACATGAATAGTGACAATGTATTGTTGATGTTTTGGAACATGAACAGTCAAGTTCGATATGATGAACTGATATTTTGCAAATTAACAATTTACGATATGGTTTACCTATTTTACTGAGTAACTCTGTAATTTTCGTTGAATACAATTCAGTTGCCCTCACCTGTGTTCTCGTTCACTACAGATACATCTAAACGCTTCCAACAAGTTGACACTTCCCTAATTCAAACAAAAATTCTGTACACAAAAACAACATGTCCAGTTGCTAATCTTTCTATGACTTCAGTAATTCTTGAAGTTTGTATTTACTTTAATTTTTAACCAGTGATCAGTACAATTTTCTCAAAATTATTATTCAGTTCATATAGTTGCAGTTTAAAAAAACGAAATGAGCGTCTCTAGACTACTAATGAAAACATTGAATTACACTAAATAGCCAATTCGTCATAAAATGTATCTTATCAGTAATGCTCATTGTGGTGAAGTTTCGTTCTCTCTGAGCTGGGGATGTTTAGGTAGTGGAGGTTTCATTGTTCTTCTTCTGAACAGTATCATCATCAGCACAAACTTCAGATACCGATGCAAACAATGACAAGTTTAAGGTCCATAACAGAGGTTAGCAGAACAAGCTACAGGCCAAACGTGCATAAATGCGAATACTTCACTACTCTATCTGAAGTTTGTGCTGATGATGTTACTGTTGAGAAGAACGCTGAGAGCTCCGCAACCGAAACATCCAGCTCAGGAAACAAAACACCACCACAATCATCCATTTGAGCTGCAAGTTTTCTCCACCATGTCAAAGTAATGCTCATCCACAACATCGCATACAAAGGTCAAAATCCATGACCTTCGACCTCACACGTGAACCCTGAAACTTTAAACCCTTGAGTCTGCATCCAAGGGGAAGTGAATGACGTTCAACATTAACATCGTTGAATTCAGGCTCAATGATCAAAAGGCTAACCGTTCAGATGCTTGGTTCGAATCCTAAATTGTGAGTTATCGGATGTGCATTGTTGACGAGTCACATACTAGAACATAAAGCCGTTCAGTACTGTCAAGTTTCCAACAGTC